TACACAGTTTTGCTTCTTAAATATGTTGTAATTTGTTTAAATTTACATTAGATGAGTAAAGTGTTCCAGTTCACCCCGCACTCTAAAAAATGCTGGGTTGTTTTGACCCAGCTATTGGGTTGTTTTGACCCAGCGGTTGGGTTGTTTTGACCTGACCCAGCGGTTGGGCTGTTTTGACCCAGCTATTGGGTTGTTTTGACCCAGCGGTTGGGTTGTTTTGACCTAGCTATTGGGTTGTTTTGACTCAGCGGTTGGGCTGTTTTGACCCAGCGGTTGGGTTGTTTTGACCCAGCTATTTGGTTGTTTTGAAACAACCGCTGGGTCAAAACAACCCAATAGCTGGGTTTGTCCCTTTTTAACCCAGCGCTGGGTTATACTATTTAACCCAGCATTTTTTAGAGTGCAGTTCTTTCACACCAGACTCAGTTAGACATTTATGGACTTTGCTTTGTTTAAAGAGTCACTGTCATGCTGAAACACAAAAACTCCTGCAGCACTGTTAAAATGCACAGAATTCTCTAGAATGCAGTTGAATGGCGTTGCATTAACTTTTGCCTCTGAAAATGCTTATGCATTGATTATGTTCACAAACAAAGGCATTTTATCTTGTTGGTCTTGTCTTTTTTTTCCATAATTTCTTGGCTAAGCACCGTTGAAGCTTACAGAAAATGCTCTGAATAATGACACAGTTTATTTTTTGTATAATCCAGTGAACAAAAGAGTTTTGTTTCTAAAGTTTGCAGCCCTGTCCCTTGAAATCCATGACTTGCTGCAGTTTAATTTTATAGCAGTATTTGTGCACGCTATTTGCCGCATCTAATACATCAGAAAGATGTCGTGCTGGGTTTGGGTTTGTTTTGCTTGGGTTTGTTTGGACAGTTTCTCACTGGCTCAGTCTGGAAGCAGCTGATCTCTGCTCCATTTCACTGGTATTTAAGCACTGGAGTTGTGCCGCTCACCTGAGGAAGGGTGAGACACCTGGTGAAACGCCAGCCAGCGTCAGCCCACATTCCTCCTCTCATTAAAACAAAGCTCTGTCTTTACCCTAACCTCACCACCAATCCATGCATATCAACATCTCGGTTTGTTCTTGAATCTAATTCAATCGCTTAATTGCTCGTTCAGTGTCCAGCAGTGAAAGTAGAAGGTTTGCTTTGTGCACTTCAGTGGTTCCCATAATTCATTGCTTTTACCCAAATCAGTGCCATCTGTGGCCCTCCTCCTTTGTCTTCAGCTGCGTCTGCTCACGGTTTTCTCTTTATGAGCTGACCGAGATGAAAGGCCTCTCTGAGCAATACTGTAAACTGTTTAGATACAGCGGACGTCATTACAAAGTGCATCTGCGCCATGAGACAATCACACTTGGGCTGTTTTCGGCACGTTAACCATAACGTCTGCCACTTATTACGGTTTATGAAGCAAATATCACACACTTCAAAGCCATTGCATGGAGGCTAGTCAGGGAAGCTTTGCTTTGAACGTTGGGACTGAGTCTGTCCAAACATTTATTTACAGCAATCGACAACTAGGCAAAAGTAGCTTTTCCAGCTGACAATTTTAATAAATATTTAATAAATAATAATTATTATTTAATAATAATAATAATAATAATAATAATTATTATTATTATTATTATTATTATTAAATAATAATTATTAATAATAATTATTTAATAATAATAATAATAATAATAATAATTATTATTATTATTATTATTATTATTAATTGATTGATTGATGGGGATTTTCCAGCGAATCTTTCTGTAGGTTACACCGGAAGTCCAGCAGGTGGCAGCAAGTGACAGTTTTATGAGTGAGTCATTGAATCATTAATTCAAATGATTTGTTCAAAATACTGATTCATTCAGGAAACTCAAAAACAAACACCATTTCTGTGTTGCTTGGAGTGGCGACAGTAATTTATAGTACATAATTATAATAAATAGTTTTAAATAGTTGTCGTTGGCAGGATGAAATTAGTCAAAGTATCTGAAAATATTGTGTATAAAAAGTAAGTTGCTTGATTTTGCTGTTTGACTGGATATTGGGCACATAACTACATGTTGTTGTCATATGAAGAATCAGTCAGTAATATTATTTTTATAAACCCTACATACACAAAACTCACTTAAATTCACGACGGAAATCACTGACATTATAAAAACGTTTTGAGTTTGATTCAATAACTGCTTTGTTGAATGTATCAGACTGATTCAAACAGCTAATTATTTTTGAATGACTCATTAAAAGAGCGATACACGAGTCATTTGCGTGTGGATTTTGTGATTCACTTAAAAGAACCGGCTCTTAAGAGTCATTTGTTCGTGAATCGTTACACTCGCGTAGAGTGTTTGTTTTTGTGTACAGCTCGATGGTGGCGTCTTAATATTATTTTGGGTTACGGTGTTTTATCTGTTCACATTCGATACAGATTGCAAACTGTCATTCACAATGCAGGTGAAATATAATTTTTGATGTACATTGACTAAAATCTGAAGAATTAACAGTACTGCATTACAATAAAATACACCTATACGAAAATAAACTATGTTTTTTATAGTAAAAGTGTAGTAACCATGTTTTTTGCAGATTGATTGCCATTTGTATAACCACAGTTTTAAAAAAAATAGGCTAAACTATAGTTAGTGTAGCACAACCATGTTAATTTGTGGTTACCATGGTTTTGGTCATTTTAATTTTCATAAGGGTAGTTAGGATTTTCCTTTGAAATCAGTGCAGGCTAGGTCATTTTTTGTTGTAAACCACATAGAAAACTATCCAGACTGTTCTATATTTAAGGACACCCATCATCTCTTCTGCTTAAACAATATGACCCATTATCATGATTAGTGTTACCTGTTTGGGAAACTTTTTTTTATTGTGAATTAAGTCAACCTATTATAGTGAAATGATTGAATTGCATCTAACCAGAAGTACACTGTTATATAATGTTACAATGCACATACATTTGTTGTTGTTTTTCAATAATTGAGTAGCACTTATACTGTATATTTCAGCAAGTTGTGTTTTCAGAATTTGCCATATTTTCCCAATCTCTGTGCAAGATATGGTTACACTTTATTTTGATAGTTCACTTTAGACATTCTACTAATTATAAGTAACTTTGCAGCTGCATGTCAACTAACTCTCAGAGTGGACTGTTAGGTTAGGTTTAGGGTTAGTAGAATAAGTTGACATAGTCAGTATGTTGTATGTTGTGGATCCATCAAAATAAAGTGTTAGAAGATATTAAGCAGACCGTCTACTAATACTCTAATGACTGCTAGTTGACATGTAGTTGCAAAGTTACTTACTGTTAGTAGAATGTCTAAAGTGGACTGTCAAAATAAAGTGTTACCCATGATACTGTATCTGCAAACTGTGTTAATGGTTGTGTTCACAGTTGTTGAGCTTGTTTTTTGAAGCTGTCGCTGAAGCAGCTCTCTAACAGCTTATAAAAAGCACTGGATTCCAAAGTTGCGCAAACGTCTGCTTCGTAAACCCTTAAAGATCTGAAAACGAGCATCTTTACAGCTGAAAAGTGTCGTTACAGATGTGCGAGTTTGAAACGAGTGGCGTTTCAGGGCTGCTCTCTGAAGGCTTGAATGGGTCGGTTTCATGAAAAATCTCTCGACTCGGGCCGAGCACGGAAATGAGATCCAGACGGGCCAGCGCTGTGAGCGAGGATAATGGCTTTTATTGTAGAGCAGAGTGTTTCTGTGTTTTTAAGAGGCACTGCAGCTCATTGTTGCACTAAGAGCACTCATAAAAACTCATTTCATCTTAAATGTTAGTTTGGCTCATACACCGTTCTAATTTACTTTCACTGTATGTAATTTATGCATACGCTGCCAGTAAAACGTTTTAAAAAAAAAAGTATCTTCTGCTCACCAAGCCTGATCCAAAGTACAGCAAAAGCAGTAATATTGTGAAATATTTTTACTATTTAAAATTACTGTTTTCTATTTTAAAATGTAATTTATTCCTGTGATTTAAAATCATTAGTCCAGTCACATGATCCTTCAGAAATCATTATACTATTCTGATTTGCTACTAAAAAACATTTATTATTATTATTATTATGTTGAAAACAGTTGAGTAGATATTTTTTCAGCTTTCTTTGATGAATAGAAAATTCAGAAGAACAGCATTTATCTGAAATAGAAGTCTTTTGTAACATTATAAATGACTTTATCATCACTTTTGATCAATTTTAAGCATCCTTACTAAATAAAAAGAATAATTTCTATAATTTATTTCTGCGAAAAAAAAATAAAAATTATAAAATAAAAAATAAAAAATATATATATATATATACTCCAAGCTTTTGAATGGTAGAGTGTATAATGTTACAAAAGCTTTTTATTTCAGATAAATGCTGATCTTTGGATCTTTCTATTCATCAAATAATCCTGAAAAAAAATGTACTAAACTGTTTTAAATTATAATAATAATAATAAGAAGAAGAAGAAATATTTCTTGAATGGCAAATCAGAATATTAAAATGATTTCTGAAGGATCATGTGACTGGAGTAATAATGCTAAAAACTGAGCTTTGATCACAGGAATAAATTACATTTTAATATATAGTCACATAGAAAACAGTTATTTTAAACAGTAAAAATATTTCACAATATTACTGCTTTTGCTGTATTTTGGATCAAATAAATGCAGGCTTGGTGAGCAGAAGAGACTTCTTTATAAAACATTAAAAATCTTACTGTTTAAAAACTTATGACTGGTAGTGTATTTTTTTTTTTATGTTAAAATATTTTCTCCTATCCCAGTTTAATATGCAGAGACAACAGTAAGTAAACCATGACTTCCCAAAGCATGTAAACACTGAGGCTCTGTGGTGCTATCAAAACACTCCTCTGTTTTTTGAGCGGTCCGACGTGTCAGCTTCTGGCTCAAGCAGCGGTGTGAGGCAAGCAAGGCACTGCAGGATTGTCTGGGTTTAAGGAGTGATCGTGTACTGTACCTGTGTTTGTCTCGCCGCAGTGTCCGAGGTGCAGACGCCGGGAACGGCATCCGAGTGTTCATCCCAGACATCGGCATGTTCGTGCTGGGTCTGGTCTCATGGCTCCTGTGCCGCAGTCTGGAGAATGTGTCTCAGCACAACAGCGACTTTGAGCTGGACGATCAGGTGAGAAAACACAGCAACACACAGACTCCTGAAGCCAAAACTATAGTGAGCAGTCGGCATTCTTCAGTGCTTTCGTTTAGATGCCAAGACTGAGCGATATGGTCAAAAATAGGATCACAATATCATTCCATATCAGTATTTCTCACAATATTCATTTCATAGTATTAATAGAGAAGGAAATGCTTTCCCACATGTTTGTTTAGACCTCAAGAATGAATAAAGATGCAAGTTGTGTGTTGACATGTAAACTCCACAGACTTAGCTACCTTTTCATTTTGGCCCAATGAAATGTGTTTTATTTTGCCCCAAACTTATTAGTTGATTTAGTGCAAATTCATCTTTAAAAATGGTGTTGAAAAGAATTCATGAAAATAAACCATAATCTTTTAAAATGTAATCAAAAGAAAATATAACAGTTAATGTGCAATTATTTTATTTTTTTTTGTTAAATAAGGTACTTTACATCAGAACAAGTGTACTGTATGAATTAAAACATGGATGGACGAATATCTTGGTTATATAATGCTTAAAATAAAATATTGCAAATGCATTCCACATGTTTGCTATAGACCACAGGAATGAATATAAATCTTAATTGTTTTAAACTCCACAGACTAAACTATCTTTTAATTTAGGCCCAGTTGAATACTTTTTATCTTTTTCAGATTCTGTTTTCTCATTTATTGTTCCAGATTCTGTTGTATGATTTAGTGCGAATTCGTCATTAAAAATTGTGTCTTATTAAACAAATTCATGAAATGAAAAAAAAAGTATTTTAAAATATAGCAATTAGTTTATGTATTTATTTGCTTGTTTGTTTTTTAATCTATTAATTTAGGCCCAATTCAATATGTTTTATTTTATTTTAATTTTAAAGGGTCATATGACGTTGCTAAAAAGAACATTATTTTGTGTATTTGGTGTAATGCGATGGGTTTAAGGTTAAAAAAAACACATTATTTTCCACATACTGTACATTATTGTTTCTCCTCTATGCCCCGCCTTTCTGAAACGCGTCGATTTCTACAAAGCTCATCGTTCTGAAAAGCAAGGTGTGCTCTGATTGGCCAGCTATCCAGTGCATTGTGATTGGCCGAATGTCTCAAGCGTGTGACGGAAATGTTACGTCCCTCACCATATCTGGAAACACACAGCGTCTCCACGACAACAATACTACAGTAAGAATAAAAGTTACGCCTTCTTTCTTTGCGTAAACATTTGGGCGTAGTTATGCAAATCTTCCCACACAGTGACGTAGACATGTGGGGGCGTGACGGAAATGTTACGTCCCTCACCATATCTGGAAACACACAGCGTCTCCACGACAACAATACTACAGTAAGAATAAAAGTTACGCCTTCTTTCTTTGTGTGAACATTTGGACAGCGTTATGCAAATCTTCCCACATCGTGACGTAGAAATGTAAACGAGGCGTGGACGAGTCTTAACTTTTATAAAGAATATCTCTTTGGGTTTGAGACTTTAATCTTTGCGATTTTACGGATCTTTATGTATATGCACGAACTGCTTGTAACACTCCAAAGACAAAGGAACACATGAAATCCCGTCATATGACCCCTTTAAGTCTGTGTTTTCAGTTTTATTTGATCTGGAATAAGTATTGTATGATTTAGTGCAAATTGACAATTTATTCAGTGTAATCAAAAGAAAATTTAACAAATTAAAAAATTGCATTTTTGTTTTTTTTGTCAAGTAAGGTGCTGCACAGCAAAACTTGTATGCTACATAAATTAAAACATGAATGAAGAAATATTATAAAACGGAGAGTTCTGGTCCTTGATTCTGATTGGTTGAGCCGCGTTTGAAGCTGTTGTAAATTACTCTATAAACACACACCTTTGTTTACGTTTGTGTGTTGTTCGGCAACCACTTTGTTACAACCACAACTGTTTCTGAGGAGCTACATTGTTTGGTGGAAGAATACTGTTTTTATTAATATCATTACACTTTATTTGCTCTGTTTTATTTTGTGAAACCTTACTACGTATATGGAATAATCGTTTTATAAAAGCAATAAGCCCCGTGAAGCCGTGGTTTACAGTGAATTTATAACAGCTAAGGGGTTTAAACTCCGCTTCGCATCGTACCTAACAACACCCCTTAGCTGTTATAAATTCACTGTAAACCACGGCTTCTTGGGGCTTATTGCTTTATTTTAGTTGTATGATATTCCTAGAAATAATAATAATAATAGCATTAAAAAATAGTCAGTGATTTGCTTACAGAGTTTTTAGCGACATGCAGCTGATTGCCAGACTGTGTAGGATAAATATTGAACTAATTCAAAAGCTTATTATCGATATATTGTGTATTTTTTTCCCAGTAATAAATATCGATTTATCACCCAGCACTACCTGACATGTAAATTTCACCTATATAGAGTTGTATATCATCTCGCACTTCTTCCCTCACTGCAGGAGACTCTTTCACTTCCAGCTGAAGGCCGTTCTGGCTATAAATTATGAAGCGCAGCTTTGTGGAGGAAAATACTGAAAACACACAACTATCTGGATGAATACCAGTTGTGCAAGTGCAGTTTCTCCACAGGCTGTCATTGTTTCCCTTGCGCTTGATTATTAGGAAATCAGACCTGATGCTGATGCTATGATAAAGACCACAGTGTGATTAGATGAACGAATCCAATTATAATGACATTGATGAAATATTCACTTGTTTAGCAAAGAGCCTTTATTTAAATGACATTCTCGGATTAATATGACAGCCTGAAACGATACATAAATGTGTATTTAAGTCAGCGAGGACCCTTCGTGTCAATAAGGCAAGCCTACTCTCTGCACAAATAAACTAGTGGAGATTCGTGTGGCCTTTCGAGAGATCGCTTTCTCACTCACTGCATCTAAAAATATACAGAATCGTTTAAATATAATGTGTGTGACCAGTTAATTGATCTAGAAAGAATACAATATTTTTAGTGTATTGATTTCCAGTAAGTGCTTGCTTTGAATTTGATCTTCTGCCATATAAGATCCTTCAGTTCCTATGAAAACATACCTTGAGCGGATGTAATTTGGTAATTTTGTGCCTATAGACAATAGGAAAAAGATGCATAATGTAGCTAAACGCTAGCTAAACATGCTTTAGAAAAGCTGATAATGAAATATAAGTGCAAGCAGAAATGATCAGAATCCAGCGGATTTGGGAAGCTACTGTAAAAAAGTAGATGAAAAGGACTTCATAATTGAAACAATACTGTATTGGTGCTTGTCACATCATATTTCGTGTGTGAGTGATTCATTAGACAAGACATTTGTTATTTAATAGTTTTACCTAAAATGACAAATACTGTTGAGACTTTTTATCACAGGCTTCAATGGAGGAAACTAAAGAAAAATAAGAAAACTACAATACAATAAGAAAACACAATAGGAGCCTATGAACATTTAAAACAATAGGCAGTGTTGTGGAAAGTTACTTTTAAAAGTAATGCATTACAATATTGCGTTACTCCATAAAAAAGTAACTAATTACGTTACTTAGTTACTTTTTATGGAAAGTAATGCGTTACGTTACTTTTGCGTTACTTTTTAAATCTGGACAGGGCTTGCTTGTTTGTTTTTAAAATAAAAAAGTTATATTTTTCTTCTTCTTTCTTTCTTTCTTTATATAGCACTATATAAATACAACTAAGTTGCCCAAAGTTCTTTACAAGGTACACATAGAAAATAACACATCAACATGAAGTAAATAGCGTTAAAAAAAAAAAAAAATAATAATAATACAGTCCTAAAGCAACGCCCATTTTAAAATGCCATAGAGAATTAAAAATTTAAATTTGGATCTAAAAATAGCCAGATTTTTGGCAAATATAAAAGCCTTTTCACACCAAAAGTGAAATGAATAAGCCTCAGGCTGAAGGAAAAGTAAATTTACGTCCGTACAGTAGAATGCAGAAGAAGACATTTCAACACACTTCAGCAATAAAAAAACACACACAAATGTTTGTCTAGAGTAATTTTTATTTTTTTTTATATATATATATTTTTAAACATTTGAAAAAGTAACTCAGATATTCTCTTGTAAATTAAAAAGTAATGTTGAAAAAGTAACTCAGATATTCTCTTGTAAATTAAAAAGTAATGCGCTACTTTACTAGTTACTTGAAAAAAGTAATCTGATTACGTAACTCGTGTTACTTGTAACGCGTTACCCCCAACACTGACAATAGGAATAGTGTTACTCTGGATTGCTTACTAAATTAAATGCAATACAGAAGTACAAAAAGCCACACACAAAAACAAATCACCGAAAAAACAACCCATTTTTCTGTTCAGTTTCTTATGGAATTTAAACGTGCAGCTCGTTTCTTGGATTTTAAGGAAGGATCAGGTGGTATTTGGGCCGAACATCACGCCAGCGCTGGCTCATGTGTGACATTTGTATTGCTCTTTTTGCCTCAAACTGGCATCTTTGCCTCTTCATGCAACACTGGTAGAAATCGGTTTATTTTCAATGGCTCCTCTCAGCTTCCTTTGCAATCAGTCCAGTGTTTATTCAGGTAAATGTCCTGTCTGATGTGAGGTCTAACGTTTGGGCAGCCACACAGAGACCGCATAGACTCTGTCACGTAGCGAATGATGTGTCTTCTAATTAGTAGTGTTTGAGTAGAGCTGGTTGACTAGAGGTGTGCTATTTCTAGGCTACTTTTCTTCACCTGACAGTCAAACTAAGTTCCAGATACTTACTGTGTTTTCCAAAATATACGTTTTTTATCATTTGAAATGTGCTGCAACTTATCTTCCAAAGTGACTTATGTAGTGCAATTAAAGGAATAGTTCAGCCAAAAATGAAAGTTTGCTGAAAATGTATATTCTGATGAAGAAACAAACTCATCCTGATCTGGGATGGTGAGCACATTTTCAGCAGATTTCAGCGCAGGCTTTAAATGTTTGCTGATTATTATAACACACTTTACATGCTGAAAGTTCAGAAATGAAACTGAGGTCTGTCAAATGTTAGTATAATATGTAATGAATATAATGTTTTACCGCTTGGGTCTGTATAATCAAGCATACAAGCTACCGAGTTTTCCAGATGCATGCAGCATTAATCATTGGTTGAATATTTGCATTGTCACTGGACATTCAGCGCCCTCATGTTTCCTAATCACTCACTTTCTTAATGCCATTACCAATGCATTCGCATTCCAACACGTGTGTGTGTGTGTGTGTGTGTGTGTGTGTGTGTGTGAGAGTGTTCAGGAGGTTCACATCTGGAATATATTTGCTGGTGTTGTTTTTTCGGTGGCGGTGCTAAAGTTACCAACCCCCCAACCTTGCCTTTTTCTCCTCTCACTGATTCTTTTTCTTTATATTTCACTCTCTCTCTCTGATCCACATTTTCTCAAGAGTTTAATTCTTTTCTGATTTGGTGACATGCCATATAGGTGGTGCATTGTTGTTTAAACAGGCGTTATTGGTCGATGGGATGCTCGGTCGGTTGCTGGTAAAATGTTGGAATGCTTTCCCACATGCTCAGACCTTTATGGATCGTGACAGGCAGATAATTAAGACCACACTGTAAGTGCTTAAAGGTGTGCGAATGAAGTCAGGTTGTTTTAATATTATTATTCTTACTACAAAAAACAACTAGCAGTAGCTCTTCCAAGAACTGCAGGCCAGCATGTAAATACGACAGTGACAGCTAACACCAAATATAGATTTATTAACAATAAATACAAGGAGAATTACTGATAGTCTTTGACTCATGATGGACAATAGCTGATATTATGCTGATAGACGTGAACTTTAATGAAGACAAATGTGAAGTATATAAATTTGTTTCATAGTATGCAAGCCTTTTTTGTGTAATATATTTGTGACCCTTGAGCACAAAAGCAGTCTTAAGTCGCTGGGGTATATGGACAGATTATTTATTCAGCTTTCAGATGATGTATAAATCTCAATTTCGATAAATTTACCCTTATGACTGGTTTTGTGCTCCAGGGTCACATTTAATCACAGTGAGTCTCTGAAATTAACTTTAACTCACCAGCCATATGCAGTATATACAATGTACAAAAATGCTGGGTTAAAAACAACCCAACTTGGGTTATTTGGCAACCCAGCGCTGGGTAAATATTGGACAGAACACATGCTGGGTTATTCTGACCCAGCTAGTTGGGTTAAATGTTATTACCCAACATGCTGGGTTGTTTTATTTAAGTCAACTATTGTTTAAAAATTACTATTGCTGGCTTAAAATAGGCTGGAAATTAAAATCACACACAGAATTACTATAGGCAACAGCAATAATCAAAAGATGAACATTTATTAATAAGCAAGATAAGCAAGACAAATTGAATTTATTTGGGTGAATACAGCATAAATTACAATATTACAGATACACTCTAAAAATGCTGGGTTAAATACAACCCAGTGCTGGGTAAAATAGGGACAAACCCAGCAATTGGGCTGTTTTGACCCAGCGGTTGGGTTAAATGTTTAACTCAACCTTCTGGGTAGTAACCCAACCACTGGGTCAAAACAACCCAATTGCTGGGTTTGTCCCTATTTTACCCAGCACTGGGTTGTATTTAACCCAGCATTTTTTAGAGTGTAGTAACCCTGACTGCGATAAACTGAATCCTTCCTGTCGCAAATTCTCCACATAATATATCTCACTGCGATGAATGGTAAACATTTCGAAGATTAGCGAACAGGTTGTGAGTTCATAAAGTAATCAGCTGTTTGTCCACATTGCAGCGGTACACTTTCAGAGCCAATCGAAAGAGGTTTTACAGTCATGAACATGAATTTTGACCAATGAGGTTTTGAAGTGGGCGGGGCTTCCAGTACAGTGCTACAGAAACAAACAAAAAAAACAAATCAACATACTGTGTTGACATGGTTAGCGAGAAAACGAAATGTGAAATCATTTGAATATGTTGCTAGATTGATGGTGATTTTGAAACTGACACAAGGGAAACTATCACAGGTAGTGCGAATAATCTCAAGTTGGCAAAATAATGTTATATAAATCGGCCTGTCTTATCTATTTTAATTACTACTTAAATCATTTATTCTTTAGATATAATTCAAAACCTATCAAACTGATTTCCGTTATTGATTTCAGCACCATGAATCTACATTAATTACACGTTCCTTAGTTCATCAATTTGATTGGCTGAAGAATTTCTGAAATACACGCCCCTGAATTAAATGCAAATTCCATGCTCTGCAGTGAATGGGTGCCGTCAGAATGAGAGTCCAAACAGGTGATAAAAACATCACAATAATCCAAAAGTAATCCACAGCACTCCAGTCCATCAAAAGTTCCTCTTGTAGGCCTAAGTGTTCTGTAGGCTGCTGCTTTTTGCTCGTGTTATTCAGCTACAACAGAACGCTTTGTAAAATGACAGAATAAATATGTCTGATGACATCTAAATGTTTGACTTAATATTTTTTTAATTGGGTTTTTTTTCTTTTTCTTACCTCATTAGATTTAAAACTAGGAATCGATAAAATGCAAACGATACCCAACCCTATTCATAACACAAACTGATACAACAATGTCTCACAATAAAGTGGCATTTGGACATTTCTGATCAATCAAAGCATTTCATAAATGCCAAATGTTCTGTGAATTTATAGGACCAATCAACAGTTTGGGGTCAGAAAGATAGATCTCTAAAAATACAGTAAAACAGTAATATTGTGAAATATTATTAGAATGTAAAACAGCTGTTTTCTATGTGAGTCTCTGTTAAACTGTAATGTATTTCTGTGATGCGCAGCTGTATTTTCAGCATCATTACTCCAGTCTTCAGTGTCACATGATCTTCAGAAATCATTCTAATATGCTGATTTGCTGCTCAAGAAACATTTCTGATTATTATCAATGTTGAAAACAGTTGTACTACACACTATTTTTGTGGAAGCCGTGATGCATTTTATTTTTCAGGATTCACAGATGAATAGAAAGTTCAAAAGAACAGCATTTATTGGATTATGTATATTATGCAACCAGACTCAAATGCTTCAAAAAAAGTGGTGTTTCTGTAGGTAACATCTAACGGTCTACCCAGAACCGTTGGATTGAAAGTTATAAAGAAAAAAAAAATGAAACTTGCACTTCCTGTAACTCTTTTATGATTCATAGTAAACATCCGTCATCATGTTTTCAGGAAAAGGAGGATGAGGAAGAAGACAAGAAAAGTGAGAAACTGGAGCTTGAGGATGAGCTGCTGTTCGAAGACTTCGAGCTGGGAGATGAAGACCGTGAACTTCCTGAGGAAGAGGAAGTGGACGTAGAGGATGGGGAACTTGAGGAGGCCGACGTCGAAGAAAGTACCAAAATGAAGATCCTGCGGCAAATAGCAGACGTGGCGTCCAAACTCAAAGAAATCGTTGGCAATCTGATTACCACTGCAGGAAAAGTAGTCGTAACCATATTATTGGGCCTCACAGGTAGGTAGTGTTGAGACAGACATCGCTCACGACACAGGATCAATAATCAGCATTCATTTATAAACTGAAGATGAAAACAAGCTCAAGTGTGTTGATATATCCCAAAGATCAAACAAAAAGAAATAAAACATCATGCAAGGTTAAAGGAAAAGTTCAGCCAAAAGTTTACTCATCCTCAGGCCATCCGAGTTTGTTTCTTCATCAGATTTGGAGAAATGTAGCATTGCATCAGTGTCTCAGCAATGGATGCTCTGCAGTGAATGGGTGCCGTCAGAATGAGAGTCCAAACAGCTGATAAAAACATCACAATAATCCACAAGTAATCCACAGCACTCCAGTCCATCAGTGAACATCTGGAGAAGACAAAAGCTGAAACTAATCCATCAAGAAATACGAGTCTATAATCCATAATAACATTTCCTCCAGTGAAAAAGTGTTCTGGTGTGAATCAGGAGAGAAATCTGCACAGATCAAGCAGCGTTTAAACAGCTCTAAACACATATGTGGCTGGATTTTGATGTGAGAGACAACAGCAGATGCACTTTTTCACTGGAGGACTCATATTTCTTGATGGATTTGTTTCAGCTTTTGTCTTCTCCAGATGTTCACTGATGGACTGGAGTGCTGTGGATTACTTGTGGATTATTGTGATGTTTTTATCAGCTGTTTGGACTCTCATTCTGACGGCACCCATTCACTGCAGAGCATCCATTGATGAACTAGTCAAATTTCTCAACAAATCATTCCGATAAAGAAAGAAATTTTCTGCAAATGTTCATTTTTGGGTAAACTTTAAGGGCAAAAAATAGAGTCATTTCAATAGGAATCCACATAATCGAGAAATATTTACCCATGCACGCACGGACTTGCTTCATACATTGCTTCGGTATTGAAAATGAACATTGGTCATATTTTGCACACATATTTTGCTGAAATTCCATTGCACCTTTAGTATTGGCTCTGGAAATGACTTTTCTCAGCCTTCTCTCAATTTGTCCTTGTTCCAGGTATGATGTTGCCTTCTCTGACCTCCACTGTGTATTTCTTCACCTTCCTGGGCCTGTGCACCTGGTGGTCTTTCTGTCGCACGTTCGACCCGCTGCTCTTCAGCTGTCTGTGTGTCCTGATGGCCATCTTCAGTGCCGGACACCTCATCATGCTCTACCTCTACCAGTTCCAGTTCTTCCAGGAGGCCGTTCCGCCCGGAGACACTTACGCCAGGTGAGACCAGTGTTCCCTCTCTGTTCTTTTCTTGCTGAGCAAAACTTTTCTCTATTGGGCGAACATTTCAGCTACCTGAGCAAAAACATTCTTTATACCAGACCTGTACAGCGCACACACAAAAAAGTGTGTAACTTTTAACTTTAATATGTGACCCTGGAGCACAAAACCAGTCATAACCATGGCCGAGATACAACTATTTGAAAATCTGGAATCTGAGGGTGCACAAAAATCTAAATATTGAGAAAATCATCTTTAAAGTTGTCCAAATGAAGTTCTTAGCAATGCATATTACTAATCAAAAATTAAGTTTTGATATATTTACAGTAGGAAATTTACAAAATATCTTCATGAAACATGATCTTTACTTAATATCCTAATGATTTTTGGCATAAAAGAAAAATCATTCATTTTGACCCACACAATGTATTGTTGGCTATTGCTACAAATATACCCCAGCGACTTAAGACTGCTTTTGTGCTCCAGGGTCACATTTGCTATTTATATTTGACCCTTGATGCAAATAAATGATGCACAGATTACCGGAGAAAACATTTTTACAGTGCTGTGTTTCCAAGACATTGTATTAAAAAGCTATTTTTTTTCTTTTTTTTTTTTTGTAAAAATTAAACATTTTAATTTGAATGCTCTATTTAAGCTTTTGGTTTGCATCTCAAACCAAAAACGACCTACAAGCCGACACTGTCAGGCTCTATTTGGAGAGGTTTGATTTAAAGAGTCAATATTCAGTTTGCTTTCAGAGATCTGGATTTAGTCCTGTGTGTTTTCTGTGGCATCTGCCCAGCGTTTCGCTCCAGGACAGACCTCGCGACAAACTCTACACTACTGATCTTTTATTTGTATAAGTCTTCAGGTTTGTGGGATGTGAGCTGTTTATTAAGCTGTAAGTTTTCAGATCTGATGGTCTGATTTGATTTTGTGTTCATGCATTTCATAGTTATTAGCTCATATTTTCATGCTGTTACAAACTTTCCTTCTTCTCTGGAGTAATGTAATGAATATCTGGTTGAGAGAATTCAGTACAATTGCAGTGCAGTATGACTGACTTTAATACTTAATAAAACATCCAAGAGTGTCAGCAAAACAATTACACTCGCGATCATTGGTTTTCGTTAAAAACAATTTGATATTTAGCCAACTTGAAGCAGGGTTATTATAAAGTAGTTAACTAAAACTATAACTAAAACCATAGAAACTTTAATTAAAATAAACTGAAATAAAATATTTAAAAGAAACATTTTTTCTTCTTAATGTAACAGCAAAATAATAATAATAATAAACATGTAATGAAATAAATACATTCCTAAAAAATAATTAATAAAATGTAAAACAGCAACAATAACAATAAGGAAATAATGGTTGTTTTATTCTATTGACGGCCATAGTTTTTATTCACTGTGAAATACAAATGATTGTTGTTGTTGTTTTTATCATTATTACTACATATAATGAAATAAATTAACTTCTAAAAATACATTTTTAAAATTCAGCAAAGAGTGCAAAATTACAGACATAGGTTTTAACACTATAAAAAGAAACAAACTAATGTGTATTATTATTATTATAACACGTAATGAAATAAATACATTTGCTTTGGAGGCAAATTTTGCCCCAAAAGCACGACTGACAACAAAATCCAAGCAGCAGAAAACAGCTTGAAGTCTTGAAGGCTTTGAAAGCCTCTCTCCTGCGTCGGCTGTGTGTTTGGGTTTGCTCTATTACAGATTAGCAGCTGCTCAACAAAACTTCAAAACGGCAAAACCGTGACCAAGCACTGCAAATAAACAATCCTTCTGACCTCTGAATGAAGCCAGTTTTAAAATTGTTACTTGGGTCGAATCCACGTCCTGAAACCTCACACGCATTCAAAGCCTCTATAAAAGACACGATACTACACACACGTCTGAAACCAGCTCAGAAAACACAGCGAGGGCCAAACCAAACGCACACACGTGCAAAAAACCCTCCGTTACCTTCAGAAACACAATGTGTGGGAGAAGAATAAAAGAGGCGAACGTGCAGAGAAAGCAAAAAACAAGCATAGAAATGTGCTTGACTGAACCCCTTCATTCAACCACAAAGAATTAAGTGGTTTTTACAGGATTTAGCGGCTTCTTCCTCAAACAAAACCTGAGAAACACCATATTAGAAAAGCATTAGCCTCTGAGACGGAAACAAAGAGCTTGTCTCTGACAATCACATAAACAGCGTAATCAGAATCAGCTCTGTGGTTTTGATTACACACTGAGCTCTAAATATGTGGAAGTGCCAGGGAAGAGTCTATTTTGGGTAGACAAGAAAATGCTAATTTAGCAAACCCAGAGATTAAAAGCAAATGCTTCTCTGTTGGTTTGTCTGTTGGGTGCAACCATGTTTTGCTCAGATGCTGCTCGTTTATAACTGGAGATATTCAGTGCATATGTCATATGTGAGCCTGGAGCACAAAAGCAGTCTCAAGTCGCTGGGGTATATTTGTAGCAATAGCCAACAATACATTGTATGGGTCAAAATTATAGATTTTTCTTTTATGCCAAAAATCATTAGGAAATTAAGTAAAGATCATGTTTCATGTAGATATTTTGTAAATTTCCTACCGTAAATATATCAAAACTTAATCTCCCTCAGATTCCAGATTTTCAAATAGTTGTATGTGCCAAATATTGTCCTATCCTAACAAACCATACATCAACGGAAAGCTTATTTATTCAGCTTTCAGATGATGTATAAATCTCAATTTC